CCTGACCAGGGCCACTCCAGACTGCCCTCCCCCGGGCTCCCGGTGGTCAGCGACAGATGTGGCTACTAAAGCAAGCGGAGGCTTGTAGGCCGGAAGGTCAAGGTGGGACCTCACAATGCCGGGGAGACTGTAGGCAAGACCTGGCAAATGAGAGGAGCCCGGGACGCTGGAGACCAGAGCAAGGCCACCCCAGAGGGCCACCGGGCCTGCGTCTCACAACCATCCCTGCCTCTCTGCACCATGTGGGGGAGGCAGAAAAGCCCCAGGGGGAGCCAGGCTCCTGTAGAAATGGTGGGGACCAGAGAGAAGGGATGTAGACCTCCTCTTCAACACAGTCACCCTGGGGGAAGGGTCTCCCGGCCCCCCAACGGAAAGGGAGTTCCACGCAGAGAGGCCACAGCCAGAGGCTTGCCGCCGCGCACCGTGCCCCCCTGTGGAGCCCCGCCCCTGCCGAGTCCAGAGGAGAGCCAGGTGGCTCACTGGCTTCATCCTGTCTCCCCAGCCGACCTTTTGGGTACGAAGGAATAAAAGTCACCAAAGCACCGCAGACAGGGAGGGGGGGCTTCCTGGAGCGGGGCGAGGGGTTGAGGGGGGGCTCCACCCGGGCCTGGCAGGATGGGAAGGAACTGGATAAAGGGAGAAGGGCCACGGCAGCCCGGGAAGGGGAGGGGCCAGGCGTGCGCAGGGCGTGAGGATGGACCTGAGGGCAGAACACAGAATAGGGTGGGCCTCAGGGTTCCGGCTGGCCTGGAGGGCGCGGCCGCCAGGGAGCTGGCTGAATGGCGCCTTGGGCCTCATCAGGCATCAGAGGCACAAGCGCGGATAAAAAGGAGAGGGAGGCAAAGAATTGGGCCGGGACCCGAAGTGTTCTTCAGAAGCACGAGGGCTGGGCAGGGCGGAACAGTGAGAGACTGGCTGCAGGTCAGGGTGTGGAGCAGGGGCACCGGCAGGAGCCACGGACGAAAGGGAGGGCAGGAAGGATGAAAGAGGCCTAGGGGCGCCCACTTCTAGGTCTGAAGGAAGACGAGCTCCACCTAGACTGAGTTCTCTCTCTTGCTCCTTCTCTCTGTCTTGAATCTCTGGCTCTGGGGGAAGTCAGCGGACGTTCTGAGCTGCCCTGTGGAGAGACCCGCAGGGCTGGGAATCGGAGCCTGAAACCCGTGGCCGCTCCAGACTCAGTCAAGCAAGGACTGACTGCAGCCCAGGCCTCAGCAATCCCAGGTTCCCGACCCTCGGAACCTGGACTAGGTAATTCATTGCGGTCCTATGCTTGTGCATTTGGGATGTAATTAGTTCCACAGCCATAGACTGCTAATACTCTATGACTGTGGAACCACTGTATTTGGCGTGAACTGCTTACCTCGAGCGTTATTGTATGTGAGAGAGAAATTTCTATCATGTCGAAGCCACTACTTTAAAAGTATTTGTTTTGCTTTCTATTTATTAAAACTGAACCTAATCTTACATGATTTGATAATAAAAAACAGGCATAGCAGTGAAGTGGGAAACTAGCTTCCTACTTTCTTGCCGTCTGCTTTCCTCCTTTGGCTTTGCAAGGCCACCTCAGGGCCCAAGATCGATGCCAGAGCTCCAGAAATCTGATCTTGCATTCCAGGCAGCAGGAAGAAGAAAGGAGGGACGAATAAAAGGTGCCCCTCTCCCAGCTGACAGCTCCTTTTAAGGAGTCTTCTTGGAAGCCTCCTCCACGCTTCCATGTCTACCTCTTAGGCCAAGCTGAGACACCAGGAAGTGGGGACATGCACTTCCTCAGCTGCACACATTGTCCCCGTGAATAACATTGGATTTCTACGGATGCAGCATATGGATCGTGTGTTTTTTGATCTTGTTGGAACAAGTCAGCTCTTTTAAAAAAAAACTGTGGGACAACTAGGGAAATTTGAACATGGGGAGCAATGTGATAAAAAAGGAGTTATTGCTTTTTAGATATGAAAAGGTACTATGTTTTATGTGTGTACGTGTGTTCAAAGACTGTCTTTTAGAAATCCATATCAAATCGATGGATGACATGATATGATTTGTTTCAAAATAACCCAACGGTGGGGAAGGATGTAATTGTTGGAATGAGATCAGCATGCGGAAAAAATTGCTGAAGCCGAGTGGTGGGCACGTGGACGTTCATTGCGCCATTCTCTCTACTTTTGAATAGATTATACATTTTTCATAATAAAAGTTCCCTTAAAGGTCTGCTATTAAAGTATCGAGATTTATATTTTTAAATTTGGGGTTATAAAACATTGGAGTTCTTTTACTAAGGAACTGAGGGGGTTGGCATTGGGGGCACACAGAGCCTCTGCCGGGCAGGCATTAGCAGCTGAGCTCAACTCCTTATGGACAGAGATGGCCCGCCTGTCCCAGGATCTAATGTCCCCCCCACGGGCTGGGGCCATGCCCTCCAGGCCTCGGCGCCAGCTAGACAGTGGGGCTGCCTGGCACTCACTGGACCCTGCTGTGTGACCAGACTGGCACCACGGGCCTGGGAGGAGGGAGGAGGGACAGAAGGGGTGTAATTGAAGGCATGTGAGACCCAGGCCCTGGTCCCAAGCAGTGAATAATTTATCTGAGCAGACAGTGCTAATAAGTGGCAAATTGTTCTGCGTGTGTTCTTTCAGCAAGGTGTGCAGGGAGGCTGCATGGAGGAGGAGGCAGGGATGAACTGGGCCTTGACTTGAGGAGGAGAGGAGACCCACCTGGTGAGAGGAGCACGCGATCAGGAGGCCTCGCTGAGCCTGCCTGCCAGCTGCGCGTCTCGGAGGCCGCGGGGTGCCATCGCTCTGTGCCTGTTTGTGTCCCTGGCAAGGGAATTAGTTCTGAAGGACAAGAAGGCAAGCCACAGAGTCTCCCTGTTAATGACAATAATCACAACTGCAACAACAGCTAGTGTTTTAAGGTTCCAGGCATAAGCTAAGGGTTTAATTTACATCATGGCTCTGAGGCTGGTGTGATTACCCAGCAGTGGACACCTGTCACTTTTGCCTGCCCAGCATCTGTTCCTTCTTCTGGTATCAGTACTGCTATGCTGTTTGGGGAACTACCCCTCCTCACCCTAGTCCATGTGGTGTTTGGAGGCTAACACCCTCTTCCCCTCCCTCCAGTGGCGACACCCACCCTGCCAGCCAATCAAGTGCTCTGTCCTGAGAGGAGCTCCTGCCACCCCACCCCCCACTGCGCTTGCTTTTGGTTGAGACTAGGGGAAAGAGAGACTCCTTTTCCCTTGGGGAATGCTGAGCTGGCAGGAGGTGGGCCTGGAGCAGGGCTGGGAGGGGCAGTGCCCGAGAACCTCCTTCCCAGGCTGTCCCTCTAGATGAGAATGGTAAAGCCCCTCTTTTGTCGAAACCTGTTACACTGGCTTTCTGACATTTGCGATCTGGAATCCTGACTAATATGCACCTTCAAATATTGAGGTGAGAAAACTAGAAGTTGCCGTTGTAAGCCAAGGTTACCAAATCTGTGTAGAATCTGAAATGCCATACCCTAGGCCTTAGAGGACAGACTTCTAAAAGTGCAGGGAGAAGAACAGATTTAAGCCAAAGCCTTAAACAGAAGATGATGACCTTCAGTTAAGATGGCCGATCGACCACACAGGTCACCTCGCTCCCTGCCAAACCCCACTACAGATCAGTAAATGGTTACAAAAGGGGAAGACGTGTAACCACAGGAACAAAGGAGGAAGAGTCCCACACTAGCAAACAACATTGTTGGCGGCTGTACATGTAGTTATAACACAATGGATTAAAAGCAAAACAAAACAAAAAAGCCCTTGCCATTAGAACTCTATTCCTAAAGGAGAAAGGAGGGACGTTTAGAGGAGACCCAGTTTTCACTGTAGAAATCCCCCAAGTGCCGGTGGCCCCAGGCTCCTTTGATCCTGGGGGCGAAGGAGGAGCGGTAACAGAAGAGGCTGAAGGCTGAGTGAGTGCTGGAGGCCTCGCCCTCCCAGTCCTTCTGTGCGCCAGGCCCCGGACCCCCACCTGCTGAGCAGACCAGAGGACTGTGCTAGGGAAACAGCAAACCGGGGGGCCTACGAGCACAGCTAAGGAAACTACCACAATGAAAAACAGGGCTTAAAGGAAAAGTTCACACACCGAAGAACAGTATGACCTCAGCCTCCTGCCTCCACTCGGTGTCCAGAAGCCTGGCACCCGGGCTTATTCCCTGAGGCAGGAAGTGCGAGGATCCCTCTGTGAGCGCTCCAGCTGCCTCGGGAGGAAGGAGCCAAAGACGCCAACACTGGGGCCACAAGTTAAGCTCAGGCCAAAGCAACTTCCCTGGTGAACCCCGCCAAACATTCAAAGGGAAGTTCATACCAAGTGTCAAAACTCTCACCAAAAATAATAAAGAAGGGAACACTCACTCCCCAACCCATTCTATGAGGGCAATGTGATCATGAGACCAAAACCAAACAAAGACATCACCAAAAAATGTCAGCTTACACTACTTTATGTCAATTAGAGCCCAATTAAAAAAATTTTTTTAAGAGTTCAGGATGGAAGTCTCAGGGAACCCAAAGTGTAGGCTCACGAGCTGCAGATCCCCATGGGTTAGGGCTGAGGTTGGGGTTGGGGTTAGAATTAGGGCCTCAGGCGGAAAATGGCCCTGAAAGGAATGCATCCAAAAAGGAAACAGGGTAAGGAGGAAGAAAGTGCATACCAAATTCAAAGATCACTTTTGCAAAAACCTGCACGAAAGGTGAAAGCGAAGGAGAAATTTTTGATGCAGAGAAAAAGTTGGCAAACAGAGAAAACAATCTAGCAATTTGATGTAGAAGAGGAAATCCACCAGAATTTCAAGAGCAGAAAAGAAAAATTCTTAATCTGGTGTTAAAGTAGCAGATAAAAAAAAGTACTTGATAATGTATATCACATAGTTGTCTATCAAAGTAAGAAAATTCAAATCAACTAAGAAGAGAGATTAAAGAATGAGAGAACAGAGATACACCGTATCTTCGACTACCCTTGACGACCTCGCAGATCCCCGCGGCCATGGCCAGCAAGGGCTTGCAGGACCTGAAGCAGCAAGTGGAAGAGGCTGCCAGGGATGCGGTGGCTGCGGCTGGAGCAGCAGTGCAACAAGGGGTGGATCAGGCAGCAGAGGCGGGGCAGGAAGCCATGGCCCAGGCCGCCAAATCCACCCAGGAAACCATCGACAAGACTGCTAACCAAGTCTCTGAGACTGTCTCAGGTTTGGGGAAAATATTTGACCTCATGAAGCGACAAAAGAGAGCCAGGGGTCTCCCCTCCAGGCCCTGCTGCCCCCTTGGCCTGATGCCTCATTAAAACACATGTTCCTTAAAAAAGAAGAAGAAGAAGAGGAAGAAAAATGAGAGAAAAGGCATAGCCAGCTAACTCAGTTAGAGCGTTGTCCCAATATACCAACATTGTGGGTTCGATCCCTGATCAGGGCATGTACACAAATCGACCAATGAATGCAGAGAAGTGGAACAACAAATCAATGGTTTTCTCTCTCTCTAAAATCAACATAAATTTTTAAAAAATTCTTACCTTATTAAAAAAAAGAATAAGAGAACTGTGTTTGTGGGAAATTTGTCACATGCAATAAGAAGCTCAAGTCATTTTTTAAAACGTATGGACCAGTAGAATCTGTATGATTTCATTCTGTGATTCCAGCAGAGGGAATTCTGTCCACAAAGTTGAACACAATAAAACATCAAATTCATCCTGATCAGAAAAATATTAATGCTTATGTTGTGTTTAAGGGTGATAGGGCTGCTCCTAGAGCATTGAATGAAATTGGGGCCCAAACGGCCAATGGATTTCATACTGGAGTTGGTCTAGCATCAGAGGCCTCATCTAGAAACAAGCGACAGAGTTTGTAGGGAACTTCCTTGTGGAGACTTGGTGATAAGGACCGCTTTGGAGACTGTGGGGACATCATGGCAGTTCAGAGCACGAGAGACCAGCTGATGGGTGTTGGCAGAGGGTTTGACTAGGAGCTGCTTGCGAGTACAGATGCTGTTCATCTTGCTCTGAAATTAAGTAATTCTGAACTGGTGGGAAGAAAGGTCAAAGTCATGCGTTCTGTTAATAAAGAAAAATGAAAATAAAATTCAAATCCCAGTTTGAAGAGTGTCAGTAAACCTAAGAAGGACTTTGTTTTGCTTCAAAAAAAAAGGTAGGAAATTCTAAAAGAAAGAACAGAGGAAAAGAGGATGGACTAAGAAGCAGGAAAAAACAGAAGTCGCAGTTCGAAGCTTTGTTTTTTCCACTGAGTACTGGTCATAAAACTGTGGTGAAGCCCCCCTCAAATTTTTTAAGATGAAAAGACAATCCACAGAATGAAAAAGAATATTTGCAAATTATATAGATGATAAGGGTCTAGTATCCAGAATTTATAAACAACTGCTACAATTCAATGATAAAAAGCAATACAATTTTTAAACAGGCAAAATATTTTAATAGACATTTCTCCAAAGAAGACATGTAAATGACCAACAAGCACATGAAAAGACACTTGACATGAATCATTAGAGAAATGTGAATTAAAACCATAATGAGGTTCCATTCACACCCACTAGAATTGCTGTAATAAAAAAAGATGAACAATAATTAGTGTTGACAAGGATATAAATAAACGCAAACCCTTATGTATTGCTGGTAGGAATGTAAAATGTTGTAGCCACTTTGGAACACTGTTCGGCAGGTCCTCAAAAGGTTAAGCATAGAATTACCATGTGATTCAGCAACTCTAATCCTAGGTGTATACTCAGGAGAATTGAAAACATATGTTCACATAATAACTTGCATACAAGTGTTCATAGCAGCATAATTGATAATAGCCCCAAAGGAGAAACAACTCAGATGTTCATCACCTGATGAAAGGATGACCATACAATGAAATAGTATTCAGTCTCAAACAGGAAGGAAATTCTGATATCTGTGTGCTATGAAATGGATGAACCTAAAAAACATTAAGCTAAGCGAAAGAAGCCAGACACAAAAGACCACCTATTATAATGAGATGTCCAGAATGATCAGATCCCTAGAAACAGAGTAGATTGATCAGTGGTTGAGTGAGGAGTGGAAAATGACTTCCAATGGGTAACAGGTTTCTTTTCGGGGTGATGCAAATGTTTTAAAATTAGATACTGGTCATAGTTGCATGACTCTACGAATAGAGGAAAAATCACTGAACTGTTTGTTTTAAAAGGGTGACCTTCATGGAGCGTAAATTATATCTCAAAAAGCTGTTATAAAATATTTGTAGAAATATCTCTCTTAATGAGATAAGTGGGTTGCTTTTGTTTGTTTTGCAATTATTTTTTTTATATCCATGGTTTTAGGACAGAATTCAGAAATAATTTTAATGCTCTTTTTCATTTTTAGAGATGTAAGCACTGAGAAACCTTGTTCACATAAATTAGGAGATGGGAATAGCAAGCATTTTGATACAAAAATTTCAATCAATTCTTTGAATTCTTTCTGAGTTATAGCCAAAATCATAGAGTAATCTATCATCACTATTTATTTTTAATGATTTACCTGCTGACAAATCTATTCAGCTCTCCTCTAATTTGCTTAAAGCAAAGAATTGGAGGTCACCTGACTTGCAGAACAATTTTGTTTTTTTAATTCAACCATTAAAGTTATTCTCAGTTCTGGCAAGTATTCTAAGAAAGCTTTACCAAGACATCAAATAAGTTAGTTATCAAATATAACAAAGACTTATCAAATATATTAATTGTAGCTGTTATTTTTTTCATTTATAGTAACCTTGCTTAACCTAACACAATTGGAAGGTTTGGGAAACTAAAAACATTGTTAATTTTAACATGACCTTATCAACATAATTATGTATAAAATGCCTTTATCACACATTTTATATATACATATATATGTAACACACATGCATGCATACATAATTTTTTTTGTCAAAACCTTGAAACAGCGGATTTGGCTATTTGATTTATGGAAAACATTTGCTATATAACCCCAATTTAGTCTTCATATCAAATCAATCAACCAAACTGGACCTTTTGTCTGGAAAAGCCTCATATTACTTTTTAATTCAAATAAATAGTTTCACGTACGCTCTGGGAAGTCAAAAAGACATTGAGCGCTGCCGGTGTGGCCCAGTTGGTCGGAGCATCATTCTATAGCCCAGAAGGTCACAGGTTTGATTACCCATCAGGGCACATGCCTGGGTTGGGGGTTCCGTCCCAGGTGGGGACATGATGTTTCTCTCTCACATTAATGTTTCGCTCCCTCTCTCTCTCTCTCCCCCTTCCCTCTCTCTCAAATCAATAAGCATATCCTCAGATGAGAATTAAAAAAAGACATTGAAAAATAAATTATTAAGTACATCTTGCAAAATAGATTGTTAAAGGTAGATACAATTAGAACATATGAGAGTAATATAATTTATTTTTTTAAAATGTTTTAAAAGCAGGATAAAAAACCAACATGCTGGGGTTTTTTTAATCAAAATGTTATTTTTAAAAAGTTAAAAACACGACTTAGATAAACACAAAGCAATCATTTATCAAAAATAATTCATGAAGGAATAGGAAGGATGGTAACTGGTTCAAATGAGAATTTGAGGAATGAAGACTTACACAGCCAGTCAGTCAAAAGAGCGCTGCCCTGGCTGACAGCCTGGTGGGGGTGTCGTCCCGCTCACCAACAGGTTGCAAGTCCATTCCCAGTGAGGGCACATGCCTAGGGGGCGGGTCAACCCCCCGCTGGGGTGCACAGGAGAAAACCCATCGGTGTTTCTCTCTTACATTGATGTCTCTCTCTAAAAATCAGTAAATATATCCTCAGGTGAGGATTAAAAAGAAAAAAAGAATGCTGAGGACCATTTACTAAGTTAGGAACAAAACTGGTTAATGTCTTATAGGGCATTTGTCATCTCTCCTGAGCAAAAATCGGCAAGTTGACAAGTGCCTGTGCAAGCCTGGCCCCTAATTAAAGTCAGTCGTTCCAATACAGGCCCATTCTCCTGGAGAAATGAGCAGTCTTTCATTGGCTGGTCCAGGCACACGATGCTCCAATATAGCATTGAAATGGCACGCAGCTGTTCTTTCACCTTATTTCCATATTTTGGAAAATTTTTCCTTACACTCATCATTTAATTTATATCAATATAATTTAATGTGTTACAAAAATGATAAGTTATTTATCATTTTAAGAATATGGTAATCATAGGACTCCTTCAGTAAATGTATGCTTAATTTTAAAAAATCTGGTGTTAGAAAATCAGAAATAATGCCATTAGTTTTGTTAGACGTCATGTTTAAACTTTTCCAATAATTTTAATGAAAGAGAAAAACATAAGAACCAATTAGTCTGTCATCTTACTAATTTTTGTTTAAAGGGAGAGAAACTATGAAACATTTTATTAGATTAAATAAAATAAGAATTAATTGTAATTGGCACATTGTTTTCAAACAATATTTTATGGTATACTTAACAAAGTATGTTTTGTTAATACTTTATTGAATAAAGCACACTCTAATTTGACCAAAATATTGTGTACACTTTTTTCAAATGCATTTTGGCCCGTCTGTCGGGAACAATAAATGTGGTAGTCTCCTCAAAGTCCTGCCATTGCATTAAGAAAAATGCATCGCTAACTTACACTGCTCCATTTCTTTTAAGGAGATATTCTTCTCAGACAATCGTTCCTGTTGAGAGTGGACACCAAGATTGGCCTGAGAGTGATTCCTTACGTTTCAGTGTGAGTTTTTGTAGTCAGCAATTTCTATATTCAGTATTTGTTACCGACGCTGGCTTTGCCTTCGCCCTCCCAGGAACTTTTCTCAAGAGCAGTAACATCAATGATGCGATCACGGAGGTGAGACGTCATCCCACCCCCTAAACCTCCAACAAAGACCAAATTACAGTTTTTAACACCTGCTGCAGCCTTAACGGACACACAGGTATGACAAAAGAAGACCCAGAGTTGAAAGGCAGGATGGGGGCCCTGATTGAGCTCACAGGAAGCTTCCCCAAAGCCTATGTTCACACTGCGCCTTTGTTTGCATCCCTGAAGGTTTTCCTACCCAGGGGCAGTGCACCTTAAGGCCCGTAGGTGGGGGTGTGCCGCAGGAGCCCGGCCGCGGTGCCGTGGGCATGGGAAGCGTTTGAAATACACAGCTCTGGCTGCTGGATGGGAAGGAGGTGGCTGCTGCGCATGGGAGCCAGAATCCAAGCTGGAGGGTGGGTGGCCAGGGCCGGGGCTGGGGCGGTGGAGCTGGATGTGGCCTGGACGTGGTGGGAGGGAAAGAGTGAGGGATGAAGCGTGGACTTCCACTTGG